AAAAAAAAAGGCTTTTATCATACACAGTTCTTTACCATCAAATTTCTCATCTCTTCCCACTAAACTTATTGAAACTTCTTTGGTCTTTACGTCTCCTAAAATTGTGTTCCACACGGCCACTAATGACTTATTACTTTAATTAATTTTTCTCGCTCCTCATTCTCCTTACCCTGTCTGTAGTACTGAACACTATTGACTGTTCACTACTACTGAGTATTCTCTCTTCTCTTGTTTTCACAGTCATCACAGTGTTTGGGATATTCTAGCTTTCTGATTCATATTCCTGTAACTTTGCTCTTTTTTTTCCCCCAGTGCCTTAAGGTAAATGTTCACTAAGGTTCTGTCTTCAATTTTTGTCTCTTCTTTCTTACATTTTCTCTTTTGGAAATCTTATTTATTCTCTGGCTTCATCTGTTACCTCAATGTGATTGACTTCCAAATTTATAAATGTAGTCTTGACCTCCCTTGAGATTCAGAACCTCTGCTTACTTGTTACATAAACAAATACATGGTTACATAGATATCACAGCAGCACCTCAAGTTTAACATTTTCAAAATTGAACTTATCTTTTACTTTGAACACCTTATGATTCCCCCCTTTCAATCCAGTCACTGTTTACCTAATTTATTAATTAAATTAATAAATATCTCCCATACATTTTCCATGATTTCTCATTTGATTTCCTATACCTGGTATATTTTTCCAACTTTCCCATGACTATTGAAATACTGTCCATTCTTTCAAAGTCCAGATCACAAACTATGCAGCCTTTTCATCTGCTTACAGTTATGCTTGGGCTTTTTTATGTTTCATCATCAAGACTTTACAAAGTATTTTATTTTCATTGTTCCTATAAATGTACTATATATTATTTTGTCTTGCAACTATTTATGTATCATTGTATCCTGCTAGGTCATAAGCTCCATGAAGGCAGGGACCATATTTTATGCTTTTAATCTTCCCCTTGGACCAAGAACACTGATATGAACATAGGAAAATGCTCAAATTCTCATAGTTGAGTGAATAAATTAATCAATGGGAAGAGTACTGGCCTGGAAGTTAGGAGGCCTGGATCCTTATGTTTAATTTTCCACTAAATTGCTATGTACACTACTTAAACTTTCTGACCTTTACTTTTCTCACCTTTAGAACAAGAGACCCAGACTAGATGATCTATTTTCTCTTTCAATGCTCCACTCATTCTTTCATCTATATTACCTGGCAGGGTTACAGATTACTGAATGTGAGCCTTAGAAGGAATCTTAGATATCATGTAGTTTAACACCTTTGTTTTATAGATGAAATTGCCCAAGATCACAAAGGTAGCAAAAAAAAGAAAATCGAGATTTAAACCTAGGTTTCCTCAGTCAGTAAACAAGTCACTCAATTAGCACTGATTAAGCACCTACTACAGTTCCAGGCACTGTACTAAGCATTTGGGAAACAAAAGGCAAAAGATGGTCCCTCCTGTCTAGGAGCTTGCAAGTCTAATGGAAGAGACAAGATGAAAATAACTGTGTGCAAACAAGATATATACAGGATAAATGGGAGATAGTCCATAGAAGGAAACATTAAAGGAGATCAAGAAAGGCATTCCACAGAAGATGATATTTTAGCTGGAAACTGAAGAAAGCTAGGGAAGTCAGAAGGCACAGATTAGGAGTGAGAATATTCCAGAAATAGAAGACAGACAGTGAAAATGCTGGGAGTGTATTGTTTGAGACACTGACTGCAGTGCCATTGGACTGCAGAGGCATACAGGGGGTAGGGATAGGGACGAGAGGAGAAGAGAGTAAGAGGTAAGGAAAGACAGGAGAAATTATGAAAGCCTTTGAATGCCAAACAGAAAATTTTATATTTCATTCTTGAGGTTATAGGGAGCCACTTGGCTTCACTGATTGGGATGGGGTAGCAGATATATGCTTTCAGGAGATTAATTTGATAGATGAGTAGAAAATGGACTGCAGGGGGGAGACACTTGAGGCAGAGAGACCAATTAGCAGGCTATTTCGATAGGCCAGTTGCTAGGTGATAAGGGTCTATACCAGGGTGGTAGTAGTGTCAGAAGGGAGAAAGGGTTCATATACAACAAATGTTATAAAGGTAAAATCATAAAGATTTGGTAACTGATTGGAAATTTAATTATCTTTGTACTATAACATGAAATAACCAATTTAATCCTCCCTGGTAGTATCTGTATTTTTTAAAAAGTAGTTTGTTAGATCAAATGAATATATAGCTGGTAGACTAGGTCTAAGAGATATTCTATAACAAGGCCTCTCTAGTTCCTATTGCCCATTCAGGTCTCTATTTAAAGGCTTTCTGGGATAGGATTGTGGGTTAGTGTTAGAATGATGAGGTTTATCTCCTTCCCACTTTCTTAATAGAAGACTGAGGCAAGGGGGTGACTGTTTGTGCTTTCCTGTCTCTGTTTATGTCTGTTTTCTTCCTTCTAGTATTCCCTCTATCCTAAATTTTAATGAGCACTAATGTTTCCTATAAATTTGGATTCCAGTTTCATGGTTTCAAATCACATGTTGCTTTTCCAGGAATGTAGTTGGAATATAATTTCAGGTGGCAGATTTTACATGACAACAAAAAAACTAAAACAGAAGCAAACTTCCCAAACTTTGGATATCTTACAACTAGTATAGTTATATGGAAAATAGTATCATTAGAAAATAAAAATAAAACTGAATAAATCTTAACCATGAGAAAATCTTAGATAATTGTAGGCTAAAATTACTGTTTGAATCAGGGAAATATAGTGGTAGGACTTTTAATAAATTGGTTATTTTCTCATTTCAAAGCTTTTACAAGCAGCGCTTTTTATGCACACACAAAGCCATAATAATACAAGAAAAGAAAAAGAAAAAGAAATAGCCAAGTCCCTTTAGAACAAACAATCTTATGATTAGTGGAGGATTAAGCCCTAGACTCTTTCTGTTAGCTGGCAACTAGGACTTCTGTTCTACCTGGAGAAGGTAATGCCTTCCTCCCGATGCTTTTAGAGGTTCAATGTAGTATAGCTCAGTGGTACAAACTAAAATAGAAATAGGCCACATATTGGCTTAGGAAACCACAAATTAAATTTTTTTGTTGTATTATATTTTAATTTATTTTGTTAAAGATTTCCTAATCATGTTTTAATCTTTGTGGCTCTGGTATAGTGGGTAGGCACTGGATATGGAGTAAAGAAGACCTAGGTTAAAGTACTACTTAAAAAACTGACCAAGGCAGCTAGGTGGCACGGAGGATAGAGTTCCAGGCCTGGAATCAGGAAGACTCATCTTCCTGAGTTTAAATCTGGCCTCAGACACTTACCAGCTTTGTGACCCTGGGCAAGTCACTTAACCCTGTTTGCCTCAAAAAAGAAAAAAGAAAAAAGAAAAACAACTAACTGACCTGCAATTCTGAATGAGCCACTTGACCACTCTGTGCCTTAGTTTCCTCAACTGTAATATGAAGACATTGGAGTAAATGGCCTCTCGTATCCCTTACAATTTAAAAACTGGGATCCTGCATTCTGATATTTCTATGTCATTTGCATATTTATTGATTCAGCCTGAACCCCCAAACTTGAGAATAACCATAGTATTAAAAACAGAAAAAAAGGCTGAATAAGTTGAGAAGGGTAACAATTTTCCTATCCAGTCATTAATATAGCTTACAATTTCTGGAGAAATGATCAATCCATTCTAGGCTTTCAATCATTCTTTGCTCCCTGTTACTGAAACCATTGCAGTGAATCCAGTTGTATAATTTCTCAGTTAGTGAAGATAATAAATATCCATCATCCTCTTGATTGTCTTGACCCAGGCTGCTTGTTTTCTAGTGAAATGAGGTTTCATGAGATCTTCATATGGCATGAACTTTGCTACCCTGATTGCCTTGTTCTATATAATCTCCAGCTATCCAGAGCCCTTCCTAAAATGTGACCCAAAATTGAATGCCATCCTTCAGGTATGATCTGGCTGGATCAGTATACATTGGAGCCATCATCTCTTTATTTTTGAAACTTATAGCTCTAGTTAGGTAGCTTTAGGTGAAATTTGCTTTCTTGGATGTCATATCCCATTTGTCTCATGCTGAGCTTGCAGTCCAATAAAATCCTTAACAGTCTAGAATTCTCACTGTGTCACTTCACCACTCCAAAATCCTTTCTTTGGCATTCAAAGCCTTTGACAACTTCTCTCCCATCTGCCTTCACAGCCTGTCTCACATGACTCCCTTATTCTCTGCAATTTAGCCAAAGGGGGTAACTCACTGTTCTTAGTCTCTTGGCATCCTACCAATAGTCAAAGCCCAGTTCAAACATTACCTTCTTCATGATCCTTCTGTAACTCCCCCAGCTAAAAGTAATCTTATATCACTTTGCACTTCTCTTGTGCATTTATTATATTATAATTGGTATCATATTTATATCCAAGCATGAATGATCATTCCTTCTAGATTATAATCAACTTAACAGCAAGGATGGTGTCATACCTATTTTTGCCTTCACCCATTGCCTAAAATGCTGATATGCTAGGTAATTTATCCATTGAGAAGATATTTATTTATTCATAAAACAAACTTTTTTTTTTTCAGGAAGAAGAATGAAGCCAGGAGTTAAAATCCAAGTGTTTATGATTTCATACTTTGGCCCAAATTGTAAAATAGTAGCTCTCTACTTTCTTACAAATACTTCCCATTCTACATATTTTCAGAATTCCACAAGACATTGCTATCATAATTTCTATTAAAACTTATATGAAGAAAAAACAAACAAATACTTCCCATTCTACATATTTTCAGAATTCCACAAGACATTGCTATCATAATTTCTATTAAAACTTATATGAAGAAAAAACAAACAAATACTTCCCATTCTACATATTTTCAGAATTCCACAAGACATTGCTATCATAATTTCTATTAAAACTTATATGAAGAAAAAACAATCTATCACTTTCCTCCACTAATCAATAAATCTCACATAAATTTCTTCCCAATGCAGATTTCTCCCAGGACACCAGACAGATCAGCTAGTAGTCCAGCAAATTCACGGATTGGAGAAGAGCCATTGGTATTCTATGCTTGGTCGTGTACTGTCAAGCATCTTTATGAATGACTTGGATAATGACCTAGAGGCCATGATTTTCACATTTCTAGATGACACAAACTAGAAGAGATAGATAAATATCTGATGATGAGTCAAGATCCAAAAATCCCTCAAGAGGCTCAAACATTGGGCCAGAAGATGAGATTTGATAGGGACAAATGGAATTTCTTGTATTTGGATTAAAACTCTTAAGATAGAAGTCTAAAATGTGGGAAGGGGTAGCTAGACAACAATTCCTAGAAAAAAAATTTGAAGGCTTTGATGGATTTCAAACTCAGTAAAAGTTGATAGTGGGGGCAAAACCAAAGGTGGAGAGAACCAGGAAGTCACCTGAGCTCTCTCTAGTTTCCTTCCAAAACAACATTAAATCAAGCATTTAAATGGATTCTGAAGCAACAGAACACACAAAAGATAGAGTGCAACAATTTTCTATCTTAGGATAACTTAGAAGGGTTTCAGGAAAGGTCTGTCTCACTTGGGTAAGAAGGGAGCGCAGCCACAGCACAGATCAGCAACTGAGGCTCCTTGGTCTTGGCTCAGCAGGCCAGTGGCACAGCAGGCCAGCTGTGAGGACTTCAGTCCCAGAACAGAAGACATACTGCCAGCCCCAGAACTCTGGTACAAGGCAAGACTAGCCAGGCCACCCCAACACAATGGGCAAGTTGCCAGCACCTAAGGCCTTGGGTCAGAAAGCCAGTTAACAGACCCTTGGCCCCCAGTGTAAGAAGCTTGGGACAGTACCCCATGTACCCCAGGAGTAGAGCCCAACATTAAAAGTCATTAAATAGGCTCATAAATGAGAAAAAAAACCAGAAGAGCCCTGACTGTAGAAAGCTACTATGGTGACAGGGAAGATCAAAATACAAATTAATAAAAAAAAAAACAATGTGAAATGTCTACATGCGAAACCCCAAGAGGCAATATGAATTGGTCTAAAGCCCAAAAAAATATTCTTGGAAGAGCTCAGAAAGGATTTTAAAAATGGAATAAGAGAGATAGAAGAAAAATTGGGAAAATAAATAAGAGTTATGCAAGAAAGAGTCAACAGCTTGGAAAAGAAAGGACAAAAATTGGCTAAAGAATTTCTTAAAACATACTATTGGCAAAATTGGGAAAAGAATCCACTGAAGAAAACAACTCTTTAAAAAGTAGAATTGACCAAATGGAATAGGAGGTACAAAAGCTGACTGAAGAAAACAATTTTTTAAAAAATTAGAATTGGGTAAGTGGAAGCTAATGACTCTACAAGATATCAAGAAACAGTCCAACAAAATAAAAATAAAAATAAATAGAAGAAAAATGTAGAATACCTCATTGGATAAAATAACAGACCTAAAAAATAGAACAAAGAGAGATAATGGAAGAATTATTGGACTACTTGAAATCCATGATAAAAAAAAAGTAGCCTGAACAGCATCTTTCAAGAAATTATCATGGAAAACTGCCCTATCCTAGAATCAGAGGGTAAAATAGATTGAAAGAATCCACTGATCATCTCCTGAAAGAGATCCCAAAATGAAAACTCCTAAGAATATTTTAGCTAAATTCCTGAATTATCAGGTCAAGAAGAAAATACTGCAAGCATCAAGAAAGAAACAATTAAAATATCAAGGAGCCATACTCAGGATTACACAGGACTTAGTAGCTTCTACGTGTAAGGATTGCAGGGCTTGGAATATCATATTCTGGAAGGCAAAAGAGCTTGGATTATAACCAAGAATCAACTGCCCAGCAAAATTGAACATAATCTTTCAGGGGAAAAGATGGATATTCAATGAAATAGAGGACTTTTAAACTTTCCTGATGAAAAAAAACAGAGCTGAACAGAAAATTTGATCTTCAAATACAAGACTCAAGAGAAGCATAAAAAGGTAAACAAGAAAGGGGAAAAAAACCATGTCATTCAATAAGGTTCAATTGTTTACATCCCTACATGGGAAGAATGTACTTGTAACTCTTGAGAACTGTATCTCTGTTAGAAGGAGTTAGTTAGAAGGAGAATACATAGACAGAGGATATGGGTAGAAGTTGATTTGATGTGATGATATAAAAAATAAGGGGTGAAAAAAATGATTGTACTGGGAGAAGTGGAAAAGGGGAGCCAAAATGGGGTAACATCACGTGAAGAAGTACAAATGATCTCTTATAGTAGAGGTAAAGAAGGGAGGGAGTGAGCATTATTTAAATCTTACTCTCATCAGATTTGGTTCAAAGAGGGAATGAAATACACACTTGGTTGGGTATAGAAATTTATCTTACTGTGTAAGGAAGTAGGAGGGAAAAAGGGAAATAAAAGGGAGGGGCTAATAAAAGGGAGGGCAGAATTAGGAGAGGAAAGAAAATGGTGACAGGGCTGATAGAAGGGAGGGCAGATTGAGGGAGGTGGTGGTTAGAAGCAAAACACTAGTGAGAAAGGACAGGGTGAAAGGAGAGAAAATTATAAACAGGGAGGAAGTAAGATGGAGAGAAATACACAGTTATTAATCATAACTCTAAATATGAATGGGATGAACACACTGAAGCAGATAGCAGAATGGATTAAAAACCACAATCCTACAATATGTTGTTTATAAGAAATGAATTTGAAGCAGAGAGATATACACACACAGTAAAGATAAAAAAGCTAGAGCAGAATATATTATGTTTCAGCTGAAGTTAAAAAAAAGAGTGGTAGTAATCCTATCTCAGACAAAGCAAAAGCAAAAATAGAACTAATTAAAAGAGATAAGGAGGACCTACATCCTGCTAAAAGGCACCATAGACAATGAAATAATATCAATGCTAAACATATGTACACCAAGTGGTATAGCATCCAAATTCTTAGAGGAGAAGTGCATTACAGGAAGAAATAGACAATAAAACTATACTAGTAGTGGACCTTTTCCCTCTCTCAGAACTAGATAAAAGTAACTAAACAATAAATAAGAAAGAAGTTAAGGAGGTGAATAAAATTTTACAAAAGTTAGATATATGATAGACCTCTGGAGAAAATTGAATGGGCCTAGAAAGAAATACATCTTTTTCTCAGCAGCATATGGCACCTACACAAAAACTGACCATGTATTAGGACATAAAAACCTCATAATACAATGCAGAAAGACAAAATTATTAAATTCATCCATTTCAGATCATGATGCAATAAAAATTATTGTAATAAAGGGCCTTGGAATGATAGTCTAAAAATTATTGGTATTAAATAATCTGATCCTAAAGAAAGAGTGACAACAACAAATCATAGAAACAATCAATAATTTTATCAGAGAATGACAATAATGAGACAACATACCAAAATTTACGGGATGCAGCCAAAGCAGTTCTTGTGGGAATCCATCTCTGAATGATTATATGAAAAAAATAGAGAAAGAACAGATAAATAAATTGTGCATGCAACTAAAAAGAAACTTAGAAAAAGAACAAATTAAAAATCCCCAATTGAATAACAAATTAGAAATTCAGAAAGTCGAAGAAGAGATTAATAAAATTGAAAGTGTGAAAACTACTGAACTAATAAATAAAACTAAGAGCTAGTTTTGTGAAAAAAAAACAAATAAAATAAATAAACCTTTGGCTAATTTGATTTTTTTAAAAAAGGAGAAAACCAAATTAGTATTATCAAAAATGAAAAAGGTGAATTCACCACCAATGAAGAGGAAATTAAAATAATTAGGAACTATTTTGCCCAACTCCATGCCAATAAATTTGACAATCTTAGTGAAATGGGTGAATATTTACAAAAATATAAATTGCCCAGATTATCAGAAGCAGAAATAAAGTACTTAAATAACCCCATCTCAGAAAAAGAAATTGAACAAGCCATCAAAAAACTCACTAGGAAAAAATCTCCAGGGCCAGATGAATTTACGTGCGAATTCTATCAAACATTTAAAGAACAATTAATTCTAATACTATATAGACTATTTGGAAAAATAGGCAAAGGAGTCCTACCATATTCTTTTTATGATACAGATATGGTGCTGATACCTAAACCAGGAAGAGTTGAAGCAGAGAAAGAAAATCATAGATCAATTTTCCTAATAAATATAAATGCAAAAATTTTAAATAAAATATTAGCAAAAAGATTACAGCAACTTATCACAAGAATAATGCACTATGACTAAATAGGATTTATACCAGGAATGCAGGGCTGGTTCAATATTAGGAAAACTATAAGCATAATTGACCATATCAATAACAAAACTAACAAAAACCACATGATCATCTCAATAGATGCAGAAAAACCTTTTGACAAAATGCAGTAAGTAGGCCAGGGTTGTTTGAAGCAGACAGTTTTTAGAGCACTTATTCTAGCCCTCCTTATGCCAGAGGGTGAGCAATGTGGTCCTTAAAAAAGACTGCTCGGATGCTGAGGGGGCTTCCTCATCCCACTGCTGCTTCAGTCCAGTGAGTAGATGAGCCGGTGGTCTGGGCCACCTTGTGCAGGGTTGGGACTACAGCTCCCAGTGTATCCACACCTGCTGCTTCATTACCCTCCTGTTGCCACAGGACTTCAAGATAGGTAAAATAATAACATAGTAAGATAGTACAATAATAACATAGTTAAATAGCAGAATAATGAAATAGTAAAACAGTGGATGATGGGTGAAATCTTGACTTACACATGAATTGTATTTAAGTGAGGCAGAGTTGTGCAAAGTTGTCAGCCTCACTCTCTCTTCCAGAATCATCAAAGTACAATGGCAAGACAAAAGTCAAGATGACTGGTAATAACTCAGGAGGTAGAGGATGTCCTCGGTGTCTTTGATGACTGACCAAGCTCTAAGTGCTTCACAGCCCCTGCTTCTGCTGCTTTCATGGCCGATTGGAAAAAAAAAAAGCTTTTATCTCCCTATCCTCCCAGGGCAAATCTTTAACTGTTAGAGGTAGACATCCCCCTAACTCGCCAATGGGTTTGAGGCCAATCAATTACCCTCAACTTGGTTTAGTGCATATGCTAAATTGGCTTTAGTAAGGTGTGGCTGCTCCACAGTTTACACCTATGGAGACATAGGTGAGAGTTGGGTGAAAGGTGGGCACCAAAGGAAGATGAACAGCCCTGAAAAGGGCTCAGCAAGCCATGATCCTACAGTTACCAGCTCTCCCTGAACACCGCATATAACCCACAAAGCAGACTCAGGAGCAATGGTTGAAAATAACAAAAGAGTAAATTTAGGCTCAATATAAGGGAAACATCTTGTCAATTAGAGTTATCAAAGCCTGGAATAGGTCACTTCAGCAGGTAGTGCCTTCTCCGTAACTAAAGACTTCTAAGCAAAAGTGATATGACTTGATCTTAGGTCTGTTATAGGGTTGATTCAGTTATGGCTTGAATTAGATCTAGAATCTCTTCCAGCTCTGAGATTCTGGAATTTACTTCATTTCTTTTGAATTCAAAATGGGAATTGTAATAGTGGCAAGTGGATGTCCTTGAACATTGTCTGATATGTAACTTTCTGTAGGATTTCTGAAAGAAATATGGGTAATGAAAAATCAAAAGGGAAAGTTTGGGTAGTGTAAGTAGAATTAATAGTGATGGTGGGAACATGAATGGATCAGAAGTAAAGAGACCTCTTTGTCTATATTTTCCTCAACTTTGTACCTATCATCCAGGGATCCAATCAACAACCTTTTTGGATTATCTGTTACGTTTTTGGAATTGTGTAAGAGACTATGGTAATTTAAGCATAAAGACAGGAATTGGACCTGTGAGTTCATTAGTTTATAAAGAACCCCTATCAATGCAGGTTGGCACCATGTCTGCAGCTTATATATAGTCTTAGAGAGTTGTCTAAAGCACTGAGAAGTCAAGTGACTTGGCCACCTTCACACAGCCAAAAGTTGTCAGAGTCAAAACTTGAACCTAGGAGGCTTTGTGGTCAATTCCCTATCTACACACCACCCCTCCCCAGCCACTACTCAATGCTGATGAGAATTAATCTAATGGAAATCTCAATCTCTCTCTCTCTCTCTCTCTCTGAATTAAAAAAAAAAGTAAATGAAATTGTCCCTCCTTAAGAAGGTGTTACATTTATTGGAGGAGACGAAGCATATCCATATGAAACAAATATTGATGTATTATGAAATAACAAGGTAAAGAGATATGGGCTAGGTTACAGTATAATTAGATTAATTCAGAACAAGTTGGATGCTTGGATCTAAAAAGTAGATATTAAGGGCTAT